TTTACCCTCTGATAACTGACATGTGCTGAAAATAATCCCACAGGCTCCATACTGTACCAAAAAGTACAGGCAACCTGCACCTGAGGATGCTGCAGTTATAAATATATCGTATATAAGGGATACATAGAATAATAAACACAACACTGTTTTGCCCTGAGATGTCTGTTCTGCCTGAGAAGTGTGTACGTGATGGAGTGTGCGAGTGTGCACCCGCTCGCTTCTTTTCAAGTTGCCAGAGTTCATGATTTCCGACCATGGATGCTGTTACTCAGGATAGTTGATGCTGTTGCCATGGCGCCGGGCTGTTTTCAAGCGCTGACCCCACTCTCACACTCGTCTCTCACCAGAAACAAAACACGCGGCAGTCAATAACCGCACGCAGACTCATGCTTGTGTCCTCTTCAGGTTCCCACGATTCCTTCAGCTTCTACATCGATGAGGCGTCTCCGGTGGGGCCCGAGCAGCCGGAGACGGTGCAGAACTTCGTTTCTGTTTTCGGCACGGTTGCCAAGAAGCTAATGAGGAAGTGGCTGGCTACACAGACTATGAACTTCACCAGCCAACTGGAGGCTGGGATCCGCTTCTTTGACCTGCGCATCTCCACTAAGCCCCGCGACCCTGACAATGAGCTGTTCTTCGCCCACGGGCTCTTCAGCGCCACGGTCAGCAGAGAGTTTTTGATGGTTTTTGATGTGATGAACATTCAGCAGCGCTCGTGGTTGCTTAGTGATGTTTGTGTGTATTTATGTCTGCGTACAGGCCCGGAGCTTAATTACACAAAGTCCTTCAGAGATTTGAAGTACACAGTTCACAGTTTGTTTGTCTAGATTTCATATCATTATGTCATTAAAGGAGTTATTAATATAGGTTTTGTTTGTGTTTTTGTTTCAGGTCAGAGAAGGTTTGGAGCAGATCAGCAGCTTCCTGTCAGCTCACGCCAGAGAGGTCGTGTTCCTGGACTTCAACCACTTCTACGGCGTGCAGAACCTGCACCACGAAAAGCTGGTGGCCATGTTGAAAGAGGTGTTTGGAGACAAACTCTGCCCGGTTGTTTTCGCTCAGGAGGTACAAATACACTTAACTTTTAACAGTGTAAGAGTATCATTATGAGCCATTACGCTGCCCGGGAGGCGCTACTTTCACCTTAACAACTCCTGATTGAAAAAGGACACATTTCAGGCACATCGGTATGCGTTCAAAAGGCTTTCGATAATTATTGTTTTCTCAGCCCTGCACGACTGCGATTCTGTGTTTTGATCACTTGAGATGCAGAATGATGGTTATCACATCCCTAATCATAGTTCAGCTTTTACACTCTGCCCTGTTGCGCGGATGACGAGGGCAAACGTCCTGCCCCTGCTCGGATTTCGCTCTTTTGCCGCATTTCCTCCGCCTGTTTTGCTTCACCATCCGCTCTTCGCTGCATCCGAAGAATCTCGAAGGAGGAATCAGCCGTAAAAATTAATCAAATCTCCAACAACTCCCACTGCAGTGTCGCCAATCTGAGATAATAGTTTCCTGACAGGTGCTGCAGCTGAGTGACAATTAAGCGAGGAAATGATGAAAATAATAAACTTCTCTGCGTCCGTAGGGGCGTCCGGGGCGGTGTTTAATTTCGGGGAGAGCGTACGACTTGCTGTTCTGTTCTCCGCTCGTATTAAATCCTCTTCTTTTTTTCCCCACTTTTGCTACAATAACGTGTCGATGAGCTTTACTGCTCCCTCGTCGTCTCTGTATCTTCCAGCTGCTCTCCCGTCCAAACTTATTGCACTTCCACCACTCTTCTCCGGTCTATTTCTAGACATCATGTACAGGTGTAAGGTCGTCCTCGCAATCAGCTCACGAGGGAAGAATAAAAGCAGCAAAAGACGTGCAGCGTACGGACCTTGGCTAGTCTATTTTTACTGTAACTCTAACCTCCCTGTGCACCATCTAGCTGTTTTTGTTAGCCACCAAACTTTTATTTTTTTTTCCAGCAGAGATGTAACCATAGAAACACGTGCTGCTCGTGCCCATACTATAAACTGCAACCGAGGCAGGGAGTCTTCAATCTTTTCAAAAATGTGTTTTTAACCTTCAGAAAAGTTTGTAATAGGCTTTAAAAACATTATAAATAATGCTTTCTTCTCGCCGAGTTCTCTGTAGTGCTTTTGTTGATTAGCAACGTGTTGTGATCAGACATAAAGCATGTGGTTGTTAATGTGTGAAAGCTGCCTCAAATTTGAGATAACATATCTGACAGTCTCTGTAATCAGTGAGGAGTGAGTACAATCGAGCTGCTTACTAGTAAGTGGGGTGTATTACATCAGGCACTCACATCCATTTATTTCCTTTCAAATAAAGCTTAAGAAATAATCTGGCAGGTGCGTGTTGTTTATGTCTCAGCTGCCTGTTTCTATTGTTTTCTCTCTTTTATGATTATTTATTATACCTCCTGAACCCTCTGCACTCAGGTGACTCTGCAGTATCTGTGGGAGAAGGAGTACCAGGTGCTCGTCTTCTACCACCACCCCATGGCCCTGGAGGTGCCCTTCTTGTGGCCAGGCCAGATGATGCCCTCTCCCTGGGCCAACACCACCGACCCAGAAAAGCTGGTTCAATTTCTCCAGGCGTCTGTCACTGACCGCAGGTTTGTCAGCGTATTTATGTCGCTGTGGGCAACATCCGATGTACGCAAGGTTAAATGGGGCAAAACCTCTGCACTCTGACCGCTATCTGTGCGGGGGATGTTTCCATTCCTTTAATTAATGATCTGTTTATCATTAACTTAGTTTTATAGCTTTACAAATGAGCAATAAGGTTCGACCCTAATGGATCGCTCTGTCATGAGTTGGATTTGTTGTCATAATGCTTATTTTGTGCTAAGAGTTTGTGACTAATAATTTAATTTGCTTTAGGCCATTTTCTTTAGTTTGCTAATTTCATTAGCTCACTGCCACAGCTAAGGGAACGGGAGCTTTATAAGCTTACATGCAGTGAAGCAAGTCACTGTGAAAACAAGGAATACAATCTGTAATTTTGCAGGTTTTTTACATATTTTTTGAAATACACAAAAATTGTAATGAAATCATTAAACAGAATGTGAATCTACATGTCTAATGTTTATTAAACACTGAACATTAAATAACCATAAAACCTTCATCTTTTAGAGAAAATTTACTTTTTTTTTTTTTTTTACATAAAAGTAATTTGCAAATCGATCATAATTTTAAAAAAATCCTTTTCATAAAAGATGAAATGGTGAAAAAAAAATCTAATACTATATATATTTAACAACAGGTCCTATGATTTTACCCCGTCAAAGGGGAGTTTTCACAATAAAAATGTTAAATAAATGTGTTTTTATTGGTGTATTATATCTATAGGCACCGGCAATCTGTCAAAATACAGTTTCTATAATTATATATATGTCCTTTATCTAACTATGTATAACATGATATAAATATGTATTATAATATCATTATTGTTTTAGCCTTTTTACACGTGTAAATATCATTTATTTAACATTTAAAATAAAAAGAATCCTCATGACATCCTGCAAAACTGAGCTAGAAAAATATATATTTTGGAAAGTTGTGTATTTTTATAATACATTTATTTTTAAATATATTTTTGTTGCCTCAGATGCTGTTGTTTACAGCTTTTGTGGGGCTTTAATATATATATATGGCATACATTTATGCAGTGTTATCAAATAGTCATTCATACAGTAACAGTAAGGCTTCAAAGTTTTAACAAAACCTAATAAAAGTTACATGTGAGGTGTGATTTTGTTCCTTTGGAGGATTTTTTTTTAAGTAAATAATTCAAAAATACAGCAAAGTTTACTTCTGTATGTTGCATTTCTCAACAGCAAATGTGTTGCGGTGCTTTGCAGAAATATCCCTAAGTTACAGTGAAAACAAATGTGTGATGTGTCTCTTGCAGGAGGAAGGGGACGTTCTTCGTCTCTCAGGTGGTTTTGACACCAAAGGCGAGCACCGTGATGAAGGGCGTGGCCAGTGGGCTGAGGGAGACAATCACAGAAAGGTACATGTGTGCACCTGCTCATGTTTGTTTGTGTCAGAGAGGCCAAAAAAATAAATCAGTTTTATATTCAGTACAACACGAGGCCTGGAAAAGATGCAAGGTTAGCACCCATGTTGGCACACAGTGTTATCCAACATGTCCACAGACGGTCCAAAATTATAGCAACACCTCGGGCACCGGAGGCCCCAGAAGTGACACGATTTGCCCAAAACGGCTCACAACAAAAATTCATGGGCATATGTAGACTTAGAGACACACATAAACAGTCATATGTGAGTCACTGTGGCATTTTTATAGCTAAACCCAGCGGCATGTTGGTTTCTACAGGTGTCCCCGGGCGTTTGACACTGCCCTCGTTTTTTTTTTTTTTTTTGAGCAGCTGCCACAAACCAGAGGCAAAACTCCTCTCTTTCCTCTTCCTATATCTCCCCCTTCCTAGATGATTGTGCCTCTAATTTACCCTCAACTTGTATTTGAGTCACCAGTTTGTTAAAAGCCTCAACAGCACAACCATCTATTTTCCTCGCATGAATTATTCATTGGATAATTCCACTATCAGCCCATTCTCACCAGGCGTTTAGTTACTTTGATGTAGGCATCCTGCGAAACATCGTGGCCATTCATGTTTATCACGCCGACTGCGGGTTGTAGGCGACGTACTCGTGGGATTTTGTCATGCAGAAAAAAAAAGAAAAAAAGAAGAAGCAGAGTGAGGCATCTGCAACACCCTCCCCTGGTGCTCGGTTCACATGAACATGTCCAGCCAGTGTTCAGAGTGTCCTTCTCACAGCTGGTGTCTGGCTCACAGACATCACACGCTGCGTCACGGAGATCTTTTATCACAGCGTGGCCCTCTCCGTGCTAAACCAGCCAACCGTGAATCATCCCCCTCCCCTGTCCCTCTGTATATCTCTTTTGACTTCCTCCTCCTCTTCTTCCTCTCCTGACTCCCGTCTCCGTGCATCCTCCCTCCCAGGGCGTTACCGGGCATGATGCAGTGGATCAGATCGCAAAGGCCGGGGGAGAGCGGCATCAACATCATCACGGCCGACTTCGTGGAGCTCGGAGAGTTCATCAGCGCCGTCATCACCCTCAACTACCACCTGGACGAGGACGACGACGACGACGCCACCTGAGAGCCGGCGAGAGGTTCAGGGGAGCGTAGTCGCCGCCGCTGCTTAGCGCTGGCGGTCGAGTCTGTGCTCACACTCTTTTCCCTTTGGCATTTATTTCAGGAGGGGAGCTGCACTGCTCCTTTCACTTTATTTAGGGCTATAGTGGGATTGAGAGGTCAAGTGGAGAAAAAAGGGGGGGCTGAGGAAGAGGCAAGTTGGTAGGAACACGGATGTTTGGGTGGAGCACTATGAGAATGAGGTTTTGTTTCCTATTTTTTGAGGGGGACCAAAATGTGTTTTTTTTTCTTCCCCTTCCTTAAGTGAGATGTTAATTTTCTTTACCCTCTGTGCTGTAAAAAAAGTTTTTAGGCTTAGCGCTTCACCAAGGTTCCTCAGAGCACATCAACCGTCTGCTACATGTGTCGGTACATCAATCTTGGTGTTCTAGTGCTAGTGAGAGTTCTTCTTTTTTCTGTGTAACTCAACTTGTAGGCTGGTGTGAGTAGCTAGCAGTCGTACGTCTTGTTTGGGAAAATCCGTCCAAGTGAAGTCTCTCTCCTCTTCTTTTTTTTTTGAACAATATGCATTCCTCATCAGATCACTGCAGGTGTTTTTTTTGCCTCCAGTAGCTTGAATGCAGAGTATTGTGTTTATTCACCACCTGGGCAAGAAGTGAACCATTTACATGACTTTCACGGTAATCTCTCATGGGGGTTTTCGACTAGACTACACTGAAGGCAGCTTGACACGTGTGTAGTATAACATCGATTGATTAAAACCATTTCCCAAATTCGAGAGCGAGTGTGTTTAAAATCTCAAGACGAGCTTCGACTCTCAGAAATGCGGTCGGTGCAGTTTCCAATGATTAGGCATTCAGCGTGACATTTTTTGTCGTACTTTAGTGGTGGGTGCTGAGTCGTGATAGCCAAGTATAAAAATACAGTATATCTGGGTGCAAGAGTGTATCCGCCGTCTGTGTTTCCTTTCGCTGGTTGCTTGCCCCCCCTGTGTTTGTGTCTATACTTGCTGCTATAGTGCGGCCTATATGAGTCACCGTGAGATGTATCACCGTGTTGTGTCTTTCGTAATAACAGGTGATAAAAGCTGCTTAAACACTCGCTCAGAGACTCGTTTTTTTTTTTTTTTTACTTCAAGTCAGTAAAAGGGGTAAACATAATCATTCAGAGGCGGAGAGGTGACTGCGGTGCTTCGACACCCGCAAAACAATAAATGTTAACATCCAGGCTCTTCAGTGTCTAAACCCTGGATTCCTGCTCTATCAATACATTCAGCACACCCTCGTTTTTTTAATTTACTGCACGATGTTAAGATGGGGAAACAGGCACCCAGACAGAAGGATGACGGACATATTTTTATTGCAAGGTTTTACATATTATGCATGAAAAAAAACAAAAAAAACACCTACTAGTCAAACATCCACACGTCTGATGATAAGTGTGGCGTTTTCTGCAGAGAATGTATTCTGCCGGGACATTGTTGTCAAGTTTGGTAATGTAATAAAAACAGAAAACAAAAAAACAGGAAACTCAGCTCTTTGGATTGGTGAATGTATGCGTCTTGTGAGTAACTGTGCCATTTCTAAAAAAAAAAACAAAAAAAAAGTCCCACGTGAGCGACTGAGTTTCAGCTGTTTGTAATATATACGCTTCGGAGTTTTCAAACGGTACTTCTTTCACTTCTGTGTGGTTCAAAATGTTTTATATCGTGGAGAGTTTCTACATACTGTAACTGCAAATAGTATACCGCCGATAAATTGTAAATGATTTCTCAGAGTCATGACCAATCTTTTCTTAAAGTGACAGCTCTTTATTTGATACTTCATTTTTTTTGTGCATGAACCAGAAGCTCCTACATATACTTCTGTTATATTGTTTTTTCCAACAGCATGTGTGCATCTCAGCTGGAAATGTTCCTTCCCTTTAAGACGCCTGTCTAAATTGATTTCCTTTTCTTTCTTTTTTTTTAAATGTTGCACTGCTACTGCCCCATACTGATTATGAATGAGCCCACACAAACGAGCAGGCTTCGCAAATTGTGCTGTAAGGACATGTGTGTCTTCCCTGGTCCAAAACTGTTGTCATTGCCTTTATGTTCTGGTGTTTAAATAAAAAAAAAAAGAGTCCTTTTGCTGTTGTAAAAAAAAAAAACCTTTGTTCAAATGAAAGTGACTCTGTTCTAAGTGGAAAACGGCCGATAAAATAAAGCTTCTATGCCTATCGAGTGAAGTATCATTCCCTCAACTGTTTCCGGCTCTTTGAGTGGTGATTGGTTGCTTGGATGGTTAGTTGCCTAATTGAAACAGATCATTATGGTAACTATTGCAATAAAACTGTAATTTAATTCAATCAGCAAGTGGCACTCCTCTACATCTAATGTCGACGTTCAGCTTTTTTAAGCTAGCGGTGTTTTATTCCCCGTGTGTGTGCAGAAGAGCATCCTAAAATCGTCCTGTTTCCAGGGTGATGAGGATGGAGGTGGGTGGGCAGCGGCACACACACACAGGGTGACCTTACTGAGACTGCGTTTTGTAATTCGGCATCTGCCATTCTGCAGCCAGGTGTTGCTCGTGGAAAGAGGAAACCGAGACGCCTCAGGTGCAGAGCGGCTCGTTTGTTTGTGGATGTTTTGTTCGGCTCTAGCTTCGGCGTGTCTTCACTTGACCTTTTTTGACCTTCTCTCATGTGACTCACAGAATCTAAGTATGTAGTTGTTTGGCTGCGAGTCGCCGAATCTGCTCGGTACAATAGAGGTGTTATTGTGGCAACTGCAGCCCGGCTGAGTGGCAGTTAGTCGTCTGATTGCACATTACAGTAGTTGAAGGAAAGAGGAAAAAAAACGCAGCTCATTTACTTTCTCTGTGTAGATTCTTTCTTCCAATAATGCGAGGGTTCTTTACTGGGAGAAAAAAAAATGAACAAAAGGGTACTAATATGCTGCGTGTCCTTGGATTTTATTGAAACAGTCATTTGCCAGAGAGAAGAAAATGCAAATGCAGCGTTGTTGTGTGCTCAGGAGTGTGTGGTTGTGTCTGTCTGTCTTTCTCCGTCACGCGCACACACACACACACACA